AGGAGACAATTAGGAGTACTGTAATCACCTTGGCAAGAATTGACCAGGGTCTGGACCAGGGTAGTGTGAGGAGAAAAGGCAAATGAGAAATATCACCAAGGGACAAACAGCTGACAAGGCCCTGAACCAGAATCCCAATGAGGCCCCCGGAGGCCCAGCTCTGCTCCCATTCTCTGAGAGGTTTTCTACAAGGGGGGGGAGGATCTGAGGCACCTCACACCCCCTTGTGCTGACTCTGCTTCCTGCTTAGGACAGCCATGGAGAAGAAGCTGATTGGCTGCCCCGTGTGCATCGAGCATAAGAAATACAGTCGAAATGCGCTGCTCTTCAACCTGGGCTTCGTGTGTGATGCCCAAGCCAAGACCTGCGCCCTGGAGCCCATTGTTAAGAAGCTGGCCGGCTACCTTACCACGCTGGAGGTCAGAGCCAGCCCCCTGGTGTGCCTAGCTCCTTGGGGGCCATTTCTCCAGGGGCTCAAGCCCCAGGATCCTGAACGGCGGTCTTGGTCTTCCTGGAGTAACTCAGCTTGGGTGGTAGAGGCATGCACAAAGTCCTACTGCAGACTTCATCTCATAGACACCTCAAAGACCATCTACTTCAGTCAGTCTTTCCTAGACAGGAAGTGGATGCCCAGGCAGGGAAAAGACTTAGGCCCCTGTGAACAGGGATTTAAAGCTAGAAGGGATCAGAGATCATTTAGTCCAGCCCTATTTCCTCAGCTGTAAAGTCAAGTTCGACAAGGTTCAGTAATTTGCCCAAGGCCAAACAACTACTAAAGTGGCAAGAATCCAACCTCTGACTGCAAATCCAGTGCTTTTTAAACTGTGCCAATCAGGAGTGGAGCGGGGCACCGAGGAATCTGCCTTCCCTGCTTGGCTGTTCCCCTGTCATTGATGGGCCTCATGGCAACTCTCACGGAAAGGTCAGCAGCTCACCTTTTCCATCCCATTTTCCCTTGCAGCTGGAGAGCAGTTTTGTGTCCACAGAGGAGAGCAAGCAGAAGCTAGTGCCCATCATGACCATCCTTCTGGAGGAGCTCAATGCCACAGGCAGATGCACCCTGCCTATAGGTAAGGCCCCAGGATCCAGTCCCTCCTCCAGAGAGGGGCTGCCTGCACATCCCTGCCCACATGAAAACAGAGTTCAGAGCTGTCCATGTAGAGCCCTAAAGATTACTGTCCCACGTAACCCCCAAAAGATTCCAGCGGATCCATGAACTTTAATGAGAAATAAAGGACGTCTTTATTTTCACTGATATCTCCAAATGACATTTACCATTTCTTCCAATTACTTAAAAACATGACTCTGAGAAGGAGTCTGTAGACTTCCCCAGACTGCCAAAGGGAACTCCTGATTTATAGGCACCAAGCTTTGTGAAGGGAGAAGAGGATGTGCCTTATGAGGAATGGGACATGCAGAGGAGAGGGCTCCTAAGTTAGGTCACAGACTGAAATGGACAAAGACAGAAAAGGAAGATTAGAATCTGTGATCAGGCTCCAAAATCTGGGGCACCAACAGTGAACTTTGTGAGGATGGGCCAAGGGAAGTGCTCGCAGAGGCCTTGGTTCTGATGCTAGTTCTGCAGGTAACCCCATGTCTCTCTCGACCCTTTGGGGTCATCGGCGTCTCTGTGCAATGTGATAGTGCCTAGCCTATCTATGGTGTCTAGGGTGAGAATCAGGGGAGGATTCTCAAAGGATCCTAGGTTTTAGAGCCATAGGAGGCTTTAGAGGTCCTCTAGCCCTCTTCCTACCCCATCCCCATTATTTTATAGAGGAGGAAGCAGGCAAAATCCAAATCTCATTGAGCCCTGGTTTCATCACCTGTGAAATAGGACTAGACTTTTCCATAGCCACACAGCAAGTTAATGGTAGAGCTTCAGTATGAACCCAGATCTCTGCCTACTGGATCATTGTTCTTTCCGCTCCACCGTACTATAGCGTTCAGAAGTGCCTGTATAAGCCTTACACAAATTCAATCATGGGCATGCATCCTGGTACTCTTCTGGGAGGCTTTCTGGAATCCCTGTCATCTTCCTCTATAGATGAGTCTAATACCATCCACTTGAAGGTCATTGAGCAACGGCCCGACCCCCCCATTGCCCAGGAGTATGATGTACCCGTTTTTACCAAGGACAAGGATGAGTTCTTCAACTCCCAGTGGGACCTCACCACTCAGCAAGTATGCCCACCTGCCACGTGCTCACCTGCTTAGGGTTCCCCTGGCCAGCGAAGCTTCTCTCTCAGTCCCTGTGGGCAGTGGGGTACACAGATTGGACTCAGTGATGATGTAGTCACCCTCTCTAGATACTGCCCTACATCGATGGCTTTCGACACATCCAGAAAATTTCTGCTGAGGCTGATGTGGAGCTCAACCTTGTTCGGATTGCCATCCAGAACCTGCTGTGAGTGGGCAGGGGACCACAAGATGGGTGGGGGGAAAAACTGATGGTACCAGGACCTGGACACTACCAGGACCTGCCCTCCCACCTCTCCCATTTGCTAGATCTTGCCCTTCTCCTGAGACCCCACAGATGTTACCACCCAATTAAGAATACCTAAGCTGGGGGAGGGGGTGCCTGGTGGGGGAGTTAGGCCTCAGTAGAGGCCAGAGGCCAACATTGATCAGTGTGTCTCCTGCAGGTACTATGGAGTGGTGACCCTGGTATCCATCCTCCAGGTGAGAAGGGGAACATAGAGAGGAACATTGTGTTTGGGAAGGGAAGAGGGGTTCCACTTCAGAGCACAACCTGAAATCAAGATGATAGTGCCCACTAAAAGCATGAGAACAATGGAGAATGGAATTCCCAGTGGGAGTGGGGAATGGCTGGTGTGCATGGCTACAGCAGACACAGAACGGTGTGGTCCTCTGGTTGTACAGCTGGAGAAACTGAGGCCCCAAAGGGGAAAGGCCTTGTTTGAGGTGACACAGCCAGTATTCTGTGGCAGAATGAGGATTAGAATCCAGCTTTCCTAGTTTTTGGTTTATTTTTTTTTCAATAATGCAAATTCATTGGCTACTAGTGTTTAGAATCAAAAGGGACATTAGATATCCAATCTAAATGTCTTAGTTTTTACCGATGGACATTGGGGCATAAGGGACTTTTCTAAGGTCTTGACTTGTAGTTGGGAGTTTCTGAGCTTGGGGAAGAGGGGGCTAGTGGGCACCTCAGAGCTCATTCCAGCTTTCCTCCCCCAGTATTCCAATGTGTACTGCCCCACACCCAAGGTTCAGGACCTGGTGGATGATAAGTCACTGCAGGAGGAATGTCTGTCCTATGTCACCAAACAAGGTATGGGAGGGTAGGGAGGGCTGCGGGCAAGGACACAGCTTCTAGGGCAATCTGATTCACTTCCAGCAGTGCCTCTGCACAAGCTCAGAGAAGCCACATCCAATAATAATCCAAAAATTCTTGAAGCATTTTGAGAATCAAAAATCACTTACCTCACAAACTTCTCTGTAAGTAGTATTATTCCCATTTTATGGATAAGGAACTGAGGCACAGAGTTAAGTGACTTGCCTGTGGTCATGCAGCTAAGAAGTGTTGGAACTAGTATTCAAACCCTGGTCTCTTCTAGCTCTAAATCCCATTGTGCAAAGATGCTTTTTTAGGGGCCCAAAAGAATAAAGAAGAAATCCTAATTCCAGTTCCTCCCAACTGCCCCTCAAACTGTCCTGAGGCCCAGAATGATAACAAAGAGCCCCAGGTATGTGGGCCACCAGCTTCCTGTCACCATATCAACCCACAGGGCATAAGCGAGCCAGTCTCCGAGATGTCTTCCAACTCTATTGTGGCCTCAGCCCAGGCACCACTGTCCGAGACCTCATTGGCCGCTATACTCAACAGCTGCAGCACGTGGATGAAAGGTCAGTGAGGGTGCAGCCCTCACCTCTGGGAAGCTGGGCTCCAAGCCCAGGGAGCTGGCCTTGAGGGCCACATGGGAAGGGGGTGCCTCATTTGGTTATACCAATCTAGGGTTCCTAAAGCCCGGTTCCCAACAGCCCTGGCGGGACGCAGTCCATCAGGGCACCGAAACTGGGAGGAGAGCTACTGACATTTATGCGTCATTGTTCCTGCCTGATAGGCAGTGCGGGCATTATGACAGTGGAAGGAACTGAGGCCCTGAGGAGGTGACTGCCCAGCACACCTTCCATCCACCCTCCTTCCTCACCTGGAAGGCTGCTGATTTCCAAATCTAACTCTCTTTCTGGAGAGAAGGATTAGCAACCTTGAGCCAAACACCTTTCCTGCTCTGGGCCTTAGTGTCCCCTTCGGTATAAAGAGCACCGTTCAGAGGTTGCCTCTGCCTCTGAATCAGCGATGTTGCCACCCCCCTCCTGGGGAGGTGACCCTTGCACACAGTAGGTACTTTATGTTTGTGGAGTTGAATCCGTCCGGGCAGAAAGCCTGGCCCGGAGGGGGCTCGGCTGGTGTGGAGGCCTCACCCACGCCCCTCCCGCCCCCCCAACAGGAAGCTGATCCAGTTTGGGCTAATGAAGAACCTGATGAGGCGGCTGCAGAAGTACCCGGTGCGCATCACGGCCGAGGAGCGCAGCCACCCCGCTCGCCTCTACACGGGCTGCCACAGCTACGACGAGATATGCTGCAAGACGGGTGGGTGCGGGGGGCGGCCGGGGGGGGGGGGGCGGGGGCGGCCGCGGAGGGCTGGCCGGGGCCTCTGCGAGTGACCACCTGCCTCCCGCCCATCTCCTAGGAATGAGCTATCGGGAGCTGGACGAGCGCCTGGACAACGACCCCAACATCATCGTCTGCTGGAAGTGAAGCCCCACTGCGGGATCCGCCGCCGTCTGCACCTGCGGAGCCGCCGCCGGGGCTGCGGGACTGGGGGGTGGGGGCGGGCTGGGTCAATAAAGCGCCTTCGTTCTTTATCCTCCTGCTCCCTCTCCTGCCTTTCCCCTCTGCGTCCAGCAGGGGGCGTTGGCGCCCTGACGCGCGAGCCCTGCGTTTCCGTGGCGACGGCGACGCGTAACCGCTTTTTAACTACTGAGCGCCCCAAGCACGGCGCCGCGAGACGGCTGAATGGTGTTCGGACTTGCTTCCGTCCCACCACAGCCCGAGGATGGGGGACTTGGAGGTGCTGCTGCACGGAGAGGCCGAGGCCCTGGTGCAGGCCCTGCAGAGCTTCCCACTGTGGGAGATGGGATCCCAGGGGTGAGAGCTCCGAGCTGGGGGCGCGGGGACCACGCTCGTCGGCACGGACAGAGGGCTGCAGACCAGCCCCTAGAGTGGGCATAGAGGGCTTTGATTGAGACTGAAGATGTTCTGCCGGGCTTGTGGGGGCTGTACGGTGCCCCCCCCCCCTCCCCCAGGGTCCCAGACTGCAACTTCAAGTTCTCATTGTAGTTAGGGTGAGGGTCGTGGGTGGGAGAGAAGGGTTTTTCTGTTCTAAAAGCTGTGCCTGGTCAGGTAGACTAGAGACTAAGGTCAGCCCTACCCAGAAACGCCCCCTCCTTGGGGGACTACGTGGTGTCTGGAAGCTTCAAGGTTTTCTCCATCCCACTGAATCCCTTATGGCCAGGTGGTGTCAGCAGCATGAACAGCTGGAGAAGTTGAATATGCAGGCCATCCTGGATGCCTCATCCAGCCAGGGAGAGCCCATCCAGGAGCTGCTGGTCACCCATGGCAAGGTATGACGTGGCCCCCGGGCACTGGAGACTGCTGCTAAGAGAAGGCCAGATACCCATCCCCCCCCCTGCCCCCTCCCTCCCTTCCTGACAACAGGATAAGATCTTTGAGTAACTCACTTCCCTTCAGGAAGGCAGACATTGTCTGCTTCCTTCCCCATTGGAGGCTCAAGGCAAAGTAGAAGATCCAGTGGCCCCACTTGTACTGGTAGCAACCTGTGTGGTAGGGTCTGAATGACTCTGGGGGCTCTTAAGCCAAACTCTTTCTCTTTCTGACACCTCGATTTCACCAGTGGCCCTTTGTTCCCTGCAGGTAAATTTTAATATGAGAGAGGAGTTCTTATCCCCTTCAGATAAGGTATATATAACACAAACAAGACATCTAAAACGTATATCATCTATCCAGTGACCCCAGAGGGAGCTCAGGCCTGTACTCCACTGGCTCTGAAAGTGTTTCTCTTTTCTCTGTTCAAGTCCTCCTACCTCAGGGGAAACTCTTTTCCCCTTTCCATCAACAAAGCAAATTAGTAAGAATTTCTTTAGTTCTACCTACTGTGCCCAACTTTATGCTTCCTGCTGAGGGGAAATGCATTAGTCTAAGGTACCTTTTGATTCTAAACCCTATGAGCCAATAAACACTCATACAGATCACTCTGAAACTGTGAACTAGAAGGGCTAGGTTCTAGCTTTGTCCTAAAAGGGGGAAGGGAATAAGCATTAAGCACCTACTGTGTGCCAGGCACTGTACTAAGAAATGGCTAAGACTAGTCTCTGACCTCAAGGAGTTCACAGTCCTGTCTTAGAGGGGGAGTAAAAGCGAAACAAGGAAAATGTTCAATGGGGGCAGCTAGGTGGCGCAGTGGATAGAGCACCGGCCCTGAAGTCAGGAGGACCTGAGTTCAAATCCCGCCTCAGACCAAACACTTGACACTTACTAGTTGTGTGACCCTGAGCAAGTCACTTAACCCCCACTGCCTAAAAGGAAAAAAAAAATGTAAAAAAAAAAAGAAAATGTTCAATGGCAACAGCAGATTTCAGTAAGAGTTTGACGTAACAGTGTTGTAGAGTTATATACACAAATGTACAATAAGACACATTAAGTGTTTGTAGGGATTCTGAAAAGGGAGAAAAGACGTGGAATCAGGAGACCTGGCTTCAGATACCAGCTCCCAGCAGCTGCTAGCTGGAGGACAACAGGCCTTCAATTCCTTACCTATAAGCTTACTTTCCTGGGCTGTTAGGGAAGCACTTTGTAAACCTTAAAGCATGATGGAAATGGATAGAATTAGCTGGGCTAGTCAGAGAAATCAGGGTCCAATTTTAAGAATAAGAAGCTGGATTAGGGATTGGCCTCAAGACTACATGTGGCCTTCTAGGACCTTGGGTTTGGCCTGTTGACAGAGTCCAAGTTTTCAAATCCTTTTGTTAAGGAGATTTGTTCTGTGAAGTTTGGATTCAGTCAAAGAGCTGAACTTGAGGACCTAGAGGGCCACATGTGGCCTTGAGGCAGCAGGTTCCCCTCTCCCCCATCAGACCCTTGAAAAAACAAACCTCACTGAAGAAACTGTGGGTTTCCTTCTCAATTCATCTAGCATTTGTTAAGCACCTGCTGTATGACCAAAACAGCCCCTGCCCTTAATAAACTTACATTCTACTGGAGTGAAGGAACCTGTATAAAGATAAGGAAATACAAAGAAATGGGGCCTGAAAGGCAGTGTTCAAAGGCTCACAGTTGAGATAGGGAATATATGGCAGAAAGAACAGCTTGGTTGGAATGGCAAGGACATGACAGGGAGTAATTTCTAAACAGTCTAGAAAGATAAACAGTAGCATTTTCCCTTGAGCATTTTATCTCTTCCCTCTGTCCTTGTTGCTCTGCACATCCATTCTGTGGAGACCTAAAAACTAGGTTTCCCATAGAGTTGTACATTTTGCTACTCTCCCAAGGTTGACTCTGCCCATGGGAAGGCTTACCAGGTGCTACAAAGAGAACTACCCACTGATAATAAGCCCCTGAAAAATGTTCAGCCTCACTAATACTCAGAGATGCAAATTGGTTTAACTTGGAAGAACCACCTCACCAGTCCATCAAACTTGCAAAAATTAAAAACAACTAAACTCAGTGCTGGTGGGCTTCTGGAGAAGAAGGTATGCTCACTTGTTACTGGTGGAGCATCTCTGTTGAGAGCAACCTAGTTATACCCTTTGACCCATCAGTATCAATATCATGAATAAACCCAGAAAGTGTTATCAAAAGCAACAAAACAGCACTCTTTGTAGTTGCAAAAAAAAGGGGGGGGGGGCAATCTGAATGTCCAAATGGCTAAATAAATTGTGGTACATTAATATACTAGAGTACTGTAGTTCAAAAGACCAAGGAATATAAAGAATTATGGAAGGATCTTTATGAAATGCTTTAAAGCCAAAAAAAAAAAGCAGAACTAAAAATGAGCAAAGAATTCTGATGTAGGAAATGACTGAAAAACTATGACATTTCATGTACCAAAATTAATTTAAATAATCAATACAAAGCAAATATACTGGAATTGATATTCAATATTAAATTTATCAACTAGAAGAGTGGCTACATACATTGTAGGACATTAATGTAATGGCTTACTCTAATGCAATTAATATGGGCAATTATGAGGAATACTAGGAAATCTGGAAAATTGAAAAATTCGGAACCAGAAGAATGGAGTGCTCACTAACTAGGCTGATTTGGATAACTGCACAAAAGGTTGTCCTGGAGCCTTGAAATGACTGGAAAGTTGTCAGAGCACTAATAAATCAACCTTTAATGGATTAGGAATTCTCTGAGCAATCTTTGAGGTTACTTAACCCTGGATCAGATTTTGTCTGAACACCTGATTTGCATACCTTTCTCTCCGACTTTGTGACTAACTTCTAGAATTAGGACCCCTATATTCTGGAGTATGGAGCTGGAATGGAAAAGGGACAGTGAGAGAAAAGGATGTGGAAGAAAACCACTAATTGCATTTTGGGATTTTTGATACAAGTCTGATAGAAACATTGTATTATTGTAATCTTGAGCATTTTTCTTAGAGAAAATCCAAAAGGACAGAAAGCTATCCTGACTTTTTGAAAATCTCACCCAAACCATTTTGAGTTAAAATTTATTGTTCTCCTAAACAGAGATAAAATTCCACAATAAGCTAAATCATAGTAACGGCATTCTGGTAACAGAATTACAGTGGCAGCAAATTTTCCTACAACTGTTTAATCTCTCTGCAATTCGTCCTCCGTGGATTCTTCTTTCTGCCCAGTCAAAGGTGAACACAAGAAATGCTTCTATCAAAGTCTCCTTCCTTTTCTAAGTTTGATCACTCCCCTAATTCGGTGGGGGATCAAGGGCCCCTAGCCCTTGACAGGTCACTGCCCTCATTCTATCCTGACTTAGTTTTAGACTTATGTTAGGCCTTTGAAAAAGACATTTAAAAAGATTTCAAACTAATATTGATTGACCTTTTTTTTTTAGGTGGGACCAAGGACTTCAGAATAAATTGTCCTTAGCACAAAGCCTGGCACAGAGTAGACACAGTAAATGTTTGTTGACTTGTCCTCATGGAGTGTTTATAATACAAGGTATCCCAAAAGTCTTAGTGTAGTTTTACTAGCTTAAAACTATTAGTTTTCAGTTAAAATTAATATAACTAAAACTTAGTTTATTTTAGTGCAGTTTTAAGCTAGTAAAACTGCATTAAGACTTGGGACAGGCTGTATGTAGTCTAAAGAAGAAATGGGGGGGGGGCAGCTAGGTGGTGCAGTGGGTGCAGCATTTGGCCCTGGAGTCAGGAGGACCTGAGTTCAAATCCAGCCTCAGACACTTGACACTTACTAGTTCTATGACCCTGGGCAAGTCACTTAACCCCATTGCCTAGCCAAAAAGAAAAAAGAAAAGAAAAGAAAGAAATGGGAGGAGGAGGAGTTTTGTTATGTTTGCACCATAGGAAGCTCCTAGAGTCAACATCCTTGGCTACAATGACCACAAAAATAAAAGTGGAAATAGGATGTTGACGAGCAGGCCCTCAGCCAAGACAAGGCCTGAAGCCAGCATTTCAGCTAGCTAGAGAGTTTTTAGATTGAGCCTGGGTTTCCTCAACTGTAAAATGGGGAAAATGCAGTACCTACCTCCCAGTTTAATGGTGAAGGTCAGATGAGATGGCATGCATATGTCAGCACACTTTTCAAACCTTAAGATGCAGTATTTTGCTCTTCCAGCTAATATATCCATAAAGATAGTCTGAACAAGAACTTGCAGCCTGTGGACTCCTGAAGGCTGGGGGTCAGGGAGGACTATGAGATGGGGGAGTCAGGACGAGGACCTGGTTTCAGGAAGAAGGGGAAAAGGTGGTGAGCATTGAGGAGCTCAGGGAGCTGGATGGGACCTTAGAAAATGGGAGAAGGCTGACCTGCTGGACACCACACTGGGCCTAGAGAGCAGAGCCACGGTTCAAACACGTGAGCTTGTGACACCAGTCCAGAATCCAGGGCTCTTTCCACCATGCCACAGCCTCTCTGTGATATAAGAAAACACTAGGACGGTGGGACACGGGTCCAATCACTGAGCCACTGTGCTGCCCATTCCTCATCAGCCCACCGAAGAGAGAGAATCATCCCTGCCCTGCTCACCCCACAGGGTGTCTATGAACAAGATGTCTTATAAACTTCAAAGTAAGATGTAAATTTAAGTTGTTGCCTTGAGTTCAGTTTTGTAAACGAGACCTGTCCTCTTCCCCCATTGCTGGTTTCCCCATTTCCGGCCCCCCAAATAAAATAGTGTTTAGTCTTTTACTCATCAAAGCCTTGGGATTGGGTAAGATGTCCAGAGGGCTTAGAAGAGAGCTGGGCTCTGGTCCTCAGATAGCCTTCCTGCTTTAGGCCCCTAGAACTGTAGAAAACAAAGTGACTATTAACCACAACCCCATCACACCGAATGCTTATTTGTGACCATCCACTTCTTCTGAGGGAGAAGATAAGCAAGGAGTTCGAAGCATGAGATATTGATTGTCTTACTAGTCAAATGGATTCTCTGGGGGCAGCTAGGTGGTGCAGTAGATAGAGCAGCGGCCCTGAAGTCAGGAGGACCTGAGTTCAAATCTGGCCTCAGATCAAACACTTGACACTTACTAGCTATGTGACCCTGGGCAAGTCACTTAACCCCAATTGCTTAAAAAAACCAAATGGATTCTCTTTTTTGAGTAGTCCCCTGTAAATATTTACTACAGAGGTTTACAGTGTGTCTGCATAGAATCCTTGTGTGTTTGAAGTTGTATTCATATAAGATAAATACCATTACAATTAATTTGGGACTATAAAATCATTTCCTTATACTTGGAATTGCATTGTAATAAATACTATAGCCGGAAGTGACCCTGAGCACTCAGTCATCTTTACTTTGTTAGCTGAGCTCAAGGAGGAATATAGTACACACATGCACATCCCATAAAAATTCCACTAATGATTTTTAAATTGGGGAAACTCACCATAATCATCCTCAGCAGCCTTCTATCACTTGTGCTCAGAAACTCCACTACCCAATACAGGATAAGAGAGACCGAGACAGAGGGAGTTTGTCTGAAAAAGATGAAGGGGGTGGGGGAAGTAGAGAGCTGCAGGCTGGGTATGAGCCCAAAAAGCCAGTGCGTCTTTGGGTAGCATGATTAGACTCCTGCCTCCATCCCCAGAGCAACGAGGTGACCCTGGCCCCTGCCCTGGTCAGACCATAGCAAGGTTTGGGTGTCCAGTTATGGAAGCAACAGTTTAAGAAGGACATTGATAATGATGTAAGACAATTCCAAAAGACTCATGATGGAAAATGCTATCCACATCCAGAGAAACAACTATGGAGTCTGAATGCAGATTGAAGCGTACTAATTTCTCTCTTTTTTTTTCTTTCTTGTGGTTTTTCCCTTTTGTTCAGATCCTTCTTTCACAACATGACTAATGTGGAAAAAAATAAAATAAAATGAAAAAAAATGACATTAATAAGCTAGGAAGCAACTGGAACGGTAAAGGGCATTACGTTCCTGTCATGTAAGAGGCTGAAAGAATTGGGGATATTTAGCTTGAAGAGAAGACTCATGGAAAACCTAATGGTTTCTTCCAAATACTTGAAGACTCATGTGAGAGATTCTATTTGTTCTACTGATTTTCAAAGGCAGAACCAGGAACAATGGAGAGAAGTAGCAAAGGGGAAAGGTTAGGTTCGATGTCAGGAAAAGCTTGGCGATAATTAGCGCTATCCAGAAGTGAAATGGTCTGCCTTGGGAGCTGGCAGCTGCCCCACCCCCATGGGCCAGGCATGTGGGAGTAGTGCTTCCCACCAAAAATGAAGATGGGCTCACTGGCAGCTGAGACCCCTTCTATCTCGAAAAGTCTGTGATGAGGCTTGCGTCTCTTGTCTCCTCCTGTACCGCCAGATCCCGACTCTAATCGAGGAGCTGATTTCTGTGGAGATGTGGAAGCAGAAGGTGTTCCCCATTCTGTGCAAGCTAGAAGATTTCAAACCCCATAACACCTTTCCTATTTACATGGTGGTGAGAGCAGCAGGGGACCCTGGACACTCTGTGTTCCCCCCCCCCCCCCCACCTGCTTCGCAGGTGCCTCACCCATGTCCCCTCCCTTCCTCCTGGCCCCAGCTAGGGCTCTAGACTAAGTTGGATAAGTAAATCTCAGAGGACGGGTGTCCCATCCCATAGAGCTGGGCTGTGGGCAGGAAGTGGGCCTGGGATTTCTCTCCCGAGTGTGCTTTCCTCCTCCTCTCCTGCCCAGGTGCACCACGAGGCCTCCGTCATCAACCTTCTGGAGACTGTCTTCTTCCACAAGGTGAGCCTGGTCCACCCTCAGCAAGGAGTACTGAACAGCTTTTGGCACTGGGAATAAGATGGGAACAGATCTGTAAAGCCCAGGGAGGAGGCTTGTGGAATGAAATGATGGTAGCCTTGAGTTCACTGGGCAGCCTTGACTGAGATGAGAAAAGGAAGCTGGGACTGGAGCCAGAGCTCATCCCTGCTAGTTCAGGTGTCGCCTTTGGCACACATACAGGCTTTGTGACCCTGGGAAAGTTGGTTAATCTCCCTGTGCCCAAGGACAATAGTGTCAGCCTCAAATAGAAGGGATCCCTGCAGGGCACATATTGACTCAGAAAACCACCTGTTAACATTGTCTCTGTTCCACTGAATATTTACTTTGTTAAACATTTCTTTATTTTAATCTTGTTAAGGATGTCCTTGGAGTGTCAGGGTCCTCTGCTTCCACACCTCTACTCGAGGCCCTTAAAACTTTCAGTTTTAGAGAGAAGTTGGCAGAGAAGATACCAGCTTGGACTGGTACAAGGAATTTCCTTCTCTAGGAATTCCCTATACCAGTGAAATCACAGTTCTAACCCTTAACCTTGAGTAGAGTCATTTGATTATATCCCACTCTCTCCCCATTGTAGCCCTGCCGACTTTGCCCCAGGCCCCCTGACTGCTTGCTGGCTCCTTACCTGACCCCAGCTTCCTGGGCTGGGACTTCTGGGCCAAGTGAAAAGAGCACAGACACTGTAGGTCAGGTCAGGGGAGAAGGGAGGGTGGTACAATGGTGCTGTGCCCATCTGACAGGGCTCCTGGGCAAGAACCACGGTGTTTCTGGTATACTTGAAGGTCTTTAGAGATGGAAGGGGTCCAGTGCCCCTCCCAAGGGAAAGAGGATTCAGACCCCGAGGCTAGCACCATGTGCCTCTCACTCACATCCCTTCATCTTTCCTTTCTTTCTTAGGAAGTATGTGACTCAGCCGAGGACTCCATTTTGGACTTGATTGACTATTGTCACCGAAAGCTGACCCTCCTGGTGGCCCAGAACAGCTCTGGAGGCTTCTCAGTGCCTGAAGGAGAGTTTGAGCTTTCACCTCTGCAGGTACCTTGGGTACCCCACCCCTGCCCCCCTTCCCCACCAAAGCTGACTCTTTCCAGCCCAGGCAGTGGCTCCTTTGAAGAGCCAATGTCCCTCTAGCCCAGGCTGAGCAGGATGAGACTCCTTGGCCAGAGAAAGGGGGCCTGCCCCTACTGAAAACCTGTTTTTCCCATGGTCCCCACCATGCCCTCCCCATACCCTCCAGGAGCTGCAGAAGCAGGCCCAAACCATGGAGTTTGCGATCTCTCTGAAGGCCCTTTCTGTGCTGCGCTACATCACGGACAGTGTGGACAGGTGAGTGGTGTGGCCGCTACAGAGCCGCCTTCCCTGATTTCCTCCCAGGAGAGGTCCCTGGCGGGGGGGGGGGGGGGGTGGAGAGGGGCCGAGGGGGCAGCTCTGCTCTGATTCCCACGATGCCTGCCCTCTGCAGCCTGTCTCTGAGCACCCTGACCCGTATGCTGAGCACCCACAATCTGCCTTGCCTCCTGGTGGAGCTGCTGGAAAACAGCCCCTGGTATGGCCAGGAAGGAGGTGAGTTTGTTCCCCGGGAAGTTCCCCTTACTCAGGAAGCTTTCTGGCCCTCGTCCAGAGAAAAGGAAGATGCACAGAGCACCCCGAGCTCGGCTCAGGACCAGCAGGGGGCCTGAGCCCCAGAGGCCAGTTATAGATCCTGGGTCTGTGTCTGTGACGCCTCAGGTCAGGAACAGTGACCATCTAGAGCATTTGTTGTGTTCCTACGATTAAAGACCGCTGTGAGATGCCAAAAGTAAATGAAAATCTCTCAGAATTCCACAAGTATATTTGAAAATCAAACCTACCTTCCCAGCAGGATCTGAGCTCAGTCCACATCTCCCTGCGCATCCTGTGATCAGGATGTAGAGGCGTAGAGGGTCTCAGAACTGGAGGGGAACTTGGCTGCAGTCTGTTCTTGGCCCTTTATCTTGCAGATCAAGAAGCTAAGACCTGAAGAAATTGAGAGCCTTGTCCATGATCCTAAAGCAAGTCAGTGGCAGAGCTTAGGGCAGCCCCTGGCCTCTGACACCTCTCCCGTCCCCTCTCCATTGCTTTTTTCTCAGGCCAGCTGAAGAGGTTTGAGGGGGGCAGGTGGCAAATAGTGACCGCCAAGGACTATCCGAAACTGACCAAGATAGATGGGCAGGTGTGGATCGCCCTGTACAACCTGCTGCTCAACCCTCAATGCCAGGCCAAGTATAACCTCACTGGCTTCAACAAGAACCAGCTCCTTAGGGTGGGTCATGCTAAGAGTGTTAGGGGGGGGGGCGGGGCAGGGGACATCCAGCCCTCGTAGATGCCCCATTGCCCCCCCCCGGGCTCCTAGTCTCTCTGCTCTAGCCCTGCCATTGCTGCTGCCGCCCCTCGCCAACTGGCCACAACTCTCCTCCCTCTTAGTTGGGCCAGAGAGGGATGGCTGTTTTCAAAAACCTTTCTGTAGTCTGGCCAAGGAGGTAAAGGAGCAAAGTCCCCCAGGTGGCTGGATTTGGTGGAGGGCCCTGAACAGGGGTCTCAGTGTTGGTTAAGTTTGATTCATTCCAGTTGGCTGGCATGGCTTCTAAGCCCAGGGTACCTTCCCTCCCTCCTCCCTGCCCTGTCCCAGTGGTATCGGAAAGGATCCTGGATCCCCAGGTCACACTTCACCCACTAGAATGACTCCTTCCCCTCAACCCTTCCCTCCCTGAGAAAGCCACCTCAATACACCCTTTTCAGATCTTGGCCATCAAACTGTCTTTCCTCTGTCACCACTGCCCATAGCACACACATGCACACATATACACATATACACACACACACACACACACACTCCCCTCCATGGCAAGGGTCCAGTTGGAATTCTGTTCAGCATACCAATGCATCACTGCCTCAAGTGGAAAGAAAAACCAGCTCTTTAGCTGCATGTACTCATGTTTGAGAGTAGTGACTGCTCAGCCCATGTCTCTCTCCCTTCCCTGATGAGGCTTGGAGGACAGAATCCAGGGCATTAGGGAACGTTTCAGAGATCTTCTCCTGGGCTCCCTGGATCTTTCTGGTAGCTTCCCTTGGCTCTGTTCCCCCAGCTCCGGGCCTTGCTCACTGACATCCTGCTGGACCAGATCCCCAACCTGGTGGAGCTACAGCGCTTCCTGAGCCACCTGGCACTCACTGAGCCCCACCCTCCCAAAAAGGACCTGGTGATGGAGCAGGTATCGACAGAGGGAAAAGGCAGATGGCTGCCCAGCCCAGCCTACAGAAGATCTGACCAGTCAGTGTCCTGTTGGACAGTGGGTCCAATGGTTAGAGGACTGTCAATGAGGCCAGACCCCTGGGTTCTCTTACTGGCACAGCTAAGCATGTTGTGGCCTTGAATGACTCAACTTCTACCATATTCTTTGGCTCCTCAACTTGCTGGTCAAGGCCTTCTCCCATTCTGTGACCTTTCCCCACAGATCCCAGAAATCTGGAGCCAGCTAGAGAGGAAGAACGGGGGCAAGTGGCAGGCCATTGCAAAATACCAACTGAAGCACATCTTTAGCCCCTCTGAGCAGGAGCTTCGTCTGCAGGCCAGAAGGTAGGCTGGGGGGCAACGCCAGACCCACCCACCCTTAAGAGGGATTTATCCTGAGTCTCGAGGGTCCCTGATTCCTGAAAACTTAAGAGAGCACCAGCTCTTTCCTCGTCAGGCTGGTCAAGATGGGACCATTGCCCTCAGCCTGGGCCAGGCCTGTCACTTTTCTCTGCTTTCTAAACCTTAGCCTGAGCTTGGGGCTCCCCTGATTTTCCTAGCCCTTGACTTCTTGGCCACTCCACTGCTCCTGCTACCATAACTGGTCTCTGCTCCCTCTCTATTTATTATCCTTATTGGCCACATGTCCCAAAAGAAAAGTTTCCAAGATATATTTTATAAAGAAATGATCCATTCAAAGGAACATTCCAGGGCAGGTTAATTAGACATGTTCATGTAAAACAAATTGACTCAATTCTAGCTTAGGCAGTGACTTAGTTTCCAAGCACATCTGTCTAGCTAATGTTTTCCTAGCCAGGTTTGGCCCAAGATTCCCTCTAGTTCATAGGCCACAGTCAAGAATGGTTTCTTCCATCCCAGAGCAAGTCCCCAAGACCAGTGATTTGGGATCCACCCACTTGGGTTCCTGGAATCAAGCTCATTGGGTTGTTCTATAACCCCCAGATCCCTGTCAGCCAATCAAGCAGTCTCATAATAACATGGCTGGTCTGGAGGTGCACCACTTCTACATTCCTAACTAATCCTAGGACCATGGCATTTAGAGCTGGGAGGGACCTGAGAGAACACTTGATATAGCCCCTAGGTTTCTGTACTTGGACTGAGAGAAGAGAAACTGAGAGCCAGAGAAGCGAAGACACTTGTCCACAGTCAAAAAGGCAGCAAGTAGCAAAATCTAGATTTAAACCCATGTCCTCTAGTTTCAGATCCAGTGTCCTTACCTCAAGTTACCCTCCGGGACCCCCATCAAAAAAAAAAAACAAAAAAAAAAACATGGAGATACAAAAGGATCCAGGCAGTATTATGGAATATCACCTCAAAATATATAACCCCGCATCTCTCGACAGAGCACCTAGACCAAATACCATGGTCATACTAGTCACCCTTCTCTAGGCCCCCCTTTTTCCTGTGTTCTTCTCCAGGTGGGCAGAGACCTACAAGCTGGATGTGATAGAGGCACTGAACCCTGAGAAGCCCAAGTGTGCCTCCTGCAATGCTGAGGCCTCCAAGCGATGCTCTCGCTGCCAGAATGAGTGGTACTGTAAGCGGTATGTTCACCACTGTGCCCAAAACTGCTTGCCCACAACCTCAGCCCCCCTTCTTCCCTTCCCTCTCCCAGGAAGTAGAACCTCCCCAAACACGATCCAAGGCTCTGGAGCAGCCTGGGCTTTAGGGGTCTGGTGCCTCCAGGAGCTCCCACTGAGAGGCCAAATCTCATTAGCCCAGGGGTGGCATTCACTCTAGGATTCAGACAAAAGGGTCAGGTCCCCGGGGCCCATGGACCCATTCCTTTCTTAGGACAACGGCTAAGCAGAACCTCATTGAGCCTCAGTTGCCCCTCTTCCTCTTGAACAGGGAATGCCAGGTAAAACACTGGCAGAAGCACCGAAAATCCTGTGACTTAATGGCCAAGTCGATGGACAGTGTGAAGGAGGAGGTCAAAGCCTAGTAGTAGCTGCTGCTCATTTACCCTCGTGGTATCCCATCATGCCAAGCCCCCACCTACCCAAGGCCCCAGAGTGCCCCACTATTCTAGTTATTCTAGTGCCCCTCCCCCACACACACACCCTAGCACGCCAGGCCAGACCGGTCCACAGACTCCCACATCAGGCAGAGGCCACTGCTTGCTCTCTGCCCTTCCTGGTCTGAATCCCTGGTAACCCATTCATTCTTGCCTAGCCCTGCAGCTCCAAACGTGTGCCTCAGCTCTCAGGACAGTCCAGACTACATGAGTCTGGGACAGAGGAGGGTTCCTTCGATTCTTGGGAGCTGGGGCTGGGTACTTCCGGAGATCCTTCCCCCTTCCTTCTTGCCCTGGGGAAGGGGGAGGGGGAATTCTAGAGAGGGTGAGTCCTCACAGGGACCTAGAGAAAGGAGGGAGTAAGGTCGAGTTGCTGAGACTTCCCTCCCCTTTCTGAGAGTCTGTGGCAGGATAGTGCGGATGTGGGGTACCTTCTTCCTCTCTGTAAAGCACAGTAAATGCTTTCTTTTGAGAAAAGAAGCTTCTGTCTGCTTGCAGCGCTAAACCGCCCTAGCTTGGCCCCACTCTTCTAAGGCTTGCCTAGTGATGGGATGGGGATGGCTTTGGAAGAGGGCTGAGGCTGCTTCCTGTGGAGCCAGGCCGGGCCTCCAAGAGAAAGGGAAGGAGGGGGAAAGCAACAGAAGATGAGGCAGGCGGGACGCTGCTCCGGGAGCCAGGGTTAGCTGGGCTCTTGCTCAGAGGGGCCTCCCCCTGCACCCCTCTTCAGCCTAAGGACAGCACGAAGCACTGCCCCATTTGGCACTCGTGCTTCTAAGGTCCAACTTCCTTCCCCACGCCGCAAACGTTCTCAGACCATTGCCTTTCCCTGTAGAGGATAAAGTGGACCCCTGTGGCTCCTTCATCCCCACTTGGCACATTTCTGGTCTGGTTCTCTCGGATTCCCTCCCCTCCAGTTGTTCCCTCCCTGCGCTTGTTTCCCGCCCCCGAGTCAAAGGCTGAGTTCTGCCAGCCCCCTCCCTGACTCTAGTTTCCATTGCGTGGCTTTGACTCCGGAGATCTTAGCAAACCGAGGCAGGGCCCCTGGGTTGGGGCGGGGCCGGTTGTCAAACACTGCCCGAGCCTTCGAAGTGGGGGCCGGGGACGGGGTGCGGGGGAGCGTACTCTAGCCTCCGAAGGCGCTAGGAATTGGAAGGGCTGGCTCCGCCCTAGTCGTGCTCCTGCTGCTCTGAGTCCACTGGGACCCATAGGGGAGGAGGAGGAGGAGGAGGAGGAGGAGGAGGAGGAGGAGGCAAAAACCTCTGCTATCCATCCCAGGAGGGGCAGAGCCAAGGCGAGGGAACCGCCAGCAGCGAGAGGGGCCGAGAGTCAGGGTGCTGAGCGGTCCACCGAGCCCGAGAGGCAAAGATCAAGATGGACAGAGAACTAAAGAAAAGGGCAGAGAGAGGCTGAACTTAGGCTGGGGGGGAGGGGGAGGATGGGAGGATGGGAAGGAAGTGGAGAACGAAGCAGTAACTGTACCAGCTAAAGAGCACTGAGAGGACTGACCAAAACAGGCAGGACTACTCCCTGCCCGGCCAGAGAGTGGCTTCTCTGCTCCGTGCCCAGCCACAGCTGGGTCCCGGGACCCCTGGAGAGGCAGTGATGTCTGCAGAGCCGGAACTGATCGAGCTGCGGAACTTGGTCCGGTCCCCCGACGGCCTACGGGGGCAGGAGACTGGCCGGAGCCCGGGCCCTCGGAGTCCAGGCCGGCTGGAGCGCGCCAATGCGCTGCGCATAGCCCCGGGCCGCGGTCCAGACGTGCTGCTCCGCGGCCGTCAAGTCCGTCTGCTGGGCGGCCACAGCGATCCCCGACTCACGGCCGGACCGGGCCGGGGCCACTGCTTCCGCCCGTCAGGGCCTGGCACCCACACTTGGTGCGACCTCTGTGGGGACTTCATCTGGGGCGTCATTCGCAAAGGCCTGCAATGTGTCCGTGAGTACTGGGGTCTCTAAATACGGGGGGGGGTGGGGGGGGGAGCCTGCACTCTAGACCGCTGAGGCTCAAAGTGCTCAAGTGTGACCACGTGGGAGCTGCTATGAACTGTGCCTTCGGGAGTAAGTGTCCTGCCTGCCGGGTCCATGGCTTGGGGAGTGTGGATACGGGCGAGAACATCTTAGTTCCTAAGGAAACGGGATCCGGGATTTTCTATGCACCTGTAGCTAGCTGTACATTGCTTTGACCGCTGTCGTTAGCCAGGTTAGTTACAGTACTCAAGCAGCAGTATGAGTGTACCTAAGGTGGAGGTGTTGGGGAGCCCCCGCGGGCTGTCAGGAAAGGGCCCTTGGTGCAAATCACAGCCTCGGACCCACATTTGTAATAGGTTTTCCCTCTCCACATTCCTTCACTATGACCATGGGGGGAGGTGATGACCTTGTGGCCAGCAGCTACATCCGAGACCCTATCACCATCCCAAGACCAATTAGTAAGTTCTTTTAAGACTTCAGCAGCATAAGCTCCTGCTCCCCAACCACAACGCTCCAGAAGGTGGAAGCCACAGCTTCAGTGTTCGGTCAGATTTGACCTGCTATGGCTGAAGTTTGCCTTTGGCCAATCCCAGGAAGAAGGTCTTGGCTGCTAAACCTTAGCGTGCTGCATTGCATTACATTGCAGGGCAAATATTTAACCTACTTACTGGGCAAACCGTCCCAAAGCACTTTGAACAACATTTGCATAGAAACTATGAATGTGCTCATTTCCAAGGATTCTTATCTACAAATTAAAACTGGCCTGGCCTGACACTTCTCTCCCACTGCCCCACCCCTGCTCGCAGCTCGGGTTGGGCCACCCCGAAGCTTCATTTTGCTTTCTGTTGTCTTGCCTGCCTCCTCCTCAGTAGGGTATTACTGGATTGGGGTACTGGTGCCCTCTACCCAAATGCCTCATTGTGTATGGAAGAGACAGGAGGTTTCTCCAGGTTTGGCCAATGCAGCACTGGCCCATTATACCAACCAGGAAAGGCTCTGAATGCAGCCTTGGTGATGTCAGTGCTTGGAGGACCAGTCTAATGAAGGACAGCGAACATCTTCACAGGAAAACAAGACTGCTAAGTGTTTGTTTTTGGAATGGACGGGGGTTTGTGGTTTTTGTTTATTTGTTTTTTGCTTCAGTGACCCATAGAAAATGGCTAGGGGTCCTGTGGAACCCCCTCCCAAAAATTGCTCAATGACACAGAAGATCTGTGGGGAAGGAACAGAAGGTGCTAGGATTCACACAGTTCTTGGACAGTCAACAAACATAAATTTAACGGTTGATATTTTAAGCTCCATCTTTGCCCAGTGACACAAGCTGACACGTTATTGGAGAACAGGATGTTAATACTCTAACTATTGATAAAATTAGAAAGAGGGCATTAAATCTAAGCGTAGCCAGGGCTCACAGCTTCTTCTAGGAGAAGCAAATGATGGGAGTTGATTTCCTGTCCAAAGGCAACAAGAAACATCATTTAATGTAACATTTGAATCATCTTATCTTCACAGTGCTCAGACTGTGCGTAAGCAAACAAAACACCATATAATCATTTGACATTCAGCCAAACTTCAATTCATTGAGCACCTACTGTGTGCCGTGCAATGTGACCAGTGCTAGGGATACAAAGAATAAAAAACCCTTCCCCACAAGAAGCATAAGTTATGGGGGGGGGGGGGGTGGCATGCCCATAAATAAGTAAATAAAAATACATATGAAGCAAATACAAATTAATTGAGGAGTTCGGACTGCAACTGGGTGAACTAATGGATAAGAAGGCTAGATTTGGAGTCAGGAAGATCCAAATTTCAGTCCTGCCTCAGACACTCATTAGCCATGTGTTGTTGTTCAGTCATTTTCATTCTTGTCCAACTCTTTTTGGGGGTTTTCTTGGCAAAGATACTGGAGTGGTTTGCCATTTCCTCCTCCAGCTCATTTTGCAGATGAGGAAACTGAGACAAACAGGGTTAAGTGACTTGCCCAAGGTCATACAGCTAGTAAGTGTCTGAGGGCAGATTTGAACTCAGGAAGATGAGTCTTCCTGACTCCAGGCCAGGCGCTCCATGCACTATGGCACCACCTAGCTGTCATTCGCTTAACTCTTCTTCTCTCCTCTTCCTGCTTCCTCACCTATAAAATGAGGGATTTGGAGTCAATGGCGCCAAAGGTCTTTTCCAGCTCTAAATCTATGCTCTCTCGAACCAGGGGACCAGCATAGGCCCCCCGTAAGAGCTCACGTGAGCTGGTAGAAGTGGAGGTAGGTGGGCATTCCAGGCAAAGCGGAACAGACAGCCTGTGCATAAGACAAGAGAGGAGAGAGGCAATAGTGTTACAGCCAGGATTGGAGGCCGAAGCTAGGTGGTAAAGATTTTAAATGCCAACAGCAGTTTACGTTTTATCCTGGAAGCAATAAGGAGCCCCCCTGTAGCTTCTGGGTGAGATGAGTGACATTGCCAGACATGTCGTGCATGAGGCCTCTCAATTTGGCTGCTGTGTAGAGAATGAGAGGAGGGAGATGTTAAGCAGAGATACCAAACAAGACATTGCAGTAGTTCAGGTTGAAAGCTGATGAGACAAGGTCTCAGGAGTAATGAAGGTCATATGTCTGAATTTCTTACATAAGGAAGAGAATGCAGAAATGATAGAAAGAACTTGACAACCAAGTCGTACAAAGTAAGTCAACACACATCTTAGCACTTGGTGACTTTGTTATGAAAGTAAAGAGAATGACAGTCATGTTAGAAAATATAGTTCTGAATCAAGAAATGAATGTGGAGAAAAATGTGTGTACTACTGAGAAGCCTCACTCTGCACATCATGAATAATTTCTTTGAAGAAAAGAGTTAGAAGGTGCTAGGAAGAGTAAACACCAAAGATAAAATTTTAAAAAAAAAGAGAGAGAGAGAGAGAGAAAATAAAAGACTATCTCACCAGACAGGAAATGACTGGTTATTGCAAACTAGTCAAGCCAAAATCTGCTGTCAGTGTATGTATGGACAGAGTATCAAATACCTAGCACAAAAAAACAAAGTAAACACCAGAATAGAAAGTAAAAATGAAAAAAGTCTGAACAATTAGAGTAGTCTCAATCCAACCTGTTTAAACAATCTATTGATCCTAAAAAATAAGAATTGGACAAAAGTAAAGACATTGACAATCACCATTCCTTAATGAAATCTAACTGATGTAAAACGAGGAGGCCAGAAATTGCTCCCAGCACACTTAATTTATTTTCAAGTGTAGGTCAATACTTGTTTAGGGTACGAGTTCATTTGTTTAACTTTGAGAAGGGAGACAAAGACTTTGAGTGATTATTCCCAAAACAGTGAAAAGCAGTTAAGAAAATGAATCTGTGAAGAGATTAGGACAAGATCCAATCGTTACATATTGTTATCTTCTCAGTAGAATGTAAACTTCTTGAGAACTGGGACTATTTTATTCTTTCTCTGTAAACACTTCTTTCTCTCTTCAACTAGGAAGACTTGAACTGAGTTGGCAGTCATGATTAGAA